ATAATTTTCTTTATTCAAAATGTGCATGTTTCCTATTAAGGTTATATACCTGTATTTTGCATTCATGTTATTATTGTAAATGAGAATTGAGTAACTGTAGTCTATTTTTTCATACCCAGCACACTCATTCTAGGAATTACTTGTTTTTAAAATAAGTCTTTAAATAAAAATTAAGACAAAAGTTGAAGACATGAAATACCATAAAATGTACAGTAGTATATCATCCATCAATAAATTTGTAATTTTGACAACTTAATATTAATATCATGTAGGGGATATAGGAATAAAATATTCTGATCCACATAAAATTGGCTAAATGTGACTAAATGAGCAATAGCAATATAATTCTTTTATTACATTGATACTTATATAGCCTTATGGATTTGTACTTTTTTAAATGCTTTATGTGTATAAACTCATTTAATATGCATAAACCCTATGGTAATATTTATTATTATTTTCAATTTAGTTACCCAAAGTCCCACATCCAATACATACCCAAGTAGTCTGGCTTCAGAGTCTAGTTTTAACCACTGCACCATATTGTCTGTACTTTTCAAATAAAGCATATCTTAATTTTTGGTTTTAGTTGTGAAATATAAAAATAAGCACTTTATCATGATTTATGTCACTATAACAGTAGACATTAATATTAGAAGGTCTTTTAAAATTAGTATCAGATCTTTTAAAATCAACCAGTGATAATGTTGCTATGTACACAAATGTAGTTGGAAAGACCAATTTATAATGTGTAACATTTTTCATTTTGAGAGTATATAAAGTTTGTTTAGAAGTTAGAAATATTAACTATAAAGCCAAATTCATTCTTAAAATGAATTTAACTGCAATTTAAATCATACCTATCCCAAGAGTCCTTTTAATGAATGGATGTCAACCTGGGGCATCTGAAGTTGAAAACAAGAAGATACTCAAAGTTCCAGTGCACAATTTTTAGAAATAAAACTTACAGCTTCTCATATTACCTGATCTGATGAGTTTTCTGTATCAAATATAGAAGAATCAAATAAATTCAATCCAGGTGATCTAGAAGTATAACTCATAAGAAAAGAAAATCCAGGAGATCCCTTTTGTGTTTGAACTTCAGATGCTGCATTTCTATTTCTGTTCCTGAGAAATAAAAAAAATCATCAAAATGGTAAGAATCTATTATTAAACACTGCAAACTCATAAGTATCATAAGTAAGAGCACAAAGGTGAGAATTAGCATAGTAAGGAAAGGTAGGAAATAGTTATTAAAGTGACAAACCTGTGGAAAAAGGATGGTTTGGGCTAGGGAATAATGTTAAATAAAGTGGAATGACAAATTTTGGAATAATAATTATGAATACCTACTGAGAATACACTGTCTGGCTCTATTCTAGGTGTTTCCATAGGCATAATTTACTTATTCCTTACAATAACTCTATGAAATAGGTACTATTACAATCACCTCCATTTTACAGTAGAGGATTTTGAAGTGTAGTAATGTTAAATAACTTGCTCAAAAGAATATTAAATGCCAGAGTTGGGATTTGAATGCAGCAATCCAGACTCAAAGTCCAAGCTCTTAACACTGACACTAAACTATCTTCAAGATCTTGAAAGCCAGTCACAAGATTTTAGTCTTGATGAGAAGGCAGCCATTACAGAGTATTGTATAAAGGAGTTAAACTATAAAATGATCTAGGAAAAAGAATTAGACAATACAGTATATAATACAGTAGTTAAAACCATAGATTCTAGAGCCAGAACTGCCTAAATCTCAACTTTAACACTCACTAGTTGTATCACCTGTAATTCTGTTTCCACATCTACAAAATCAGTATAATAACGTACTTACACCTCATAAAGTGGTCATGAATATTAAATGAACAATATTTGTAAAATGTCTAGGGCAGTGGCTTGCACAGAGTGCTACATGTTTGTTAAATATACCAGAAGTCTGACAATACTGCCATAACTATCTCTATGACCATGGAAGGGGTCGCTTAACTTTTCATATCATAGTTTTCTCATCCATGGAGAGAGGTTTTAGCATATGATTTCACATTCTTTTATAGTTCTCAGATTTGATGATGAGTTCCACTTTGAACATGCTGAGCTTGAGTCAACAGCATGACATTCATACATAAAACTCTTGCTAGTGATTTAAAGTACAAAAGTAGAGATTCATAAAGCAAATCCTACTTGATGTAAACAAAATGATAAAGAGCAACACCAAAATAGCTGGAGACTTCAACACCCCTCTGACAGAACAGGACAGATCCTCCAAACAGAAAATAAACAAAGAAACAATAGACTTAAACAGAACTCTAGAACAAATGGGCCTGACTGACATTTACAGAACATTCTACCCAAAAACCACTGAATATATGTTATTCTCATCAGCTCATGGGACATTCTCTAAGATTGACCATATCCTAGGCCACAAAGCATGTCTCAAACAATTTTAAAAAACAGAAATTTTACCATGCATCTTCTCAGACCACAGTGGAATAAAATTAGAAATCACCTCCAATAGAAACTCTCATCTCTACACAAAGTCATGGAAACTAAACAACTTCTGCTGAACAATTACTGCATTAAGGAGGAAATCAAGATGGAAAGCAAAAGATTCTTAGAACTAAATGATAAAGGAGACACAAGTTATCAAAATCTGTGGGACACAGCTAAAGCAGTCCTGAGAGGAAATTTATATCCATAAATGCCTACATCGAAAAGACAGAAAAATCACAAATAAACAATCTAATGAATCATCTGAAAGAACTGGAAAAGGATGAGCAAATCGACCCTAAACCCAGCAGAAGAAAAGAAATAACAAAGATCAGAGAAGAACTAAATAAATTGATAATAAAAAACTATACAGAAGATTAATAAAACAAAAAGTTGGTTCTTTTAAAAAATAAACAAAATAGACACAGCTCTTGCTATATTAACGAGAAGCAGAAAAGAAAGGACTCTAATAAGCTCCATCAGGAATGAAAAAGGAGAAATTACAACTGATGCCATGGAAATACAAAATATCATCTATGAATACTATAAAAACCTCTATGCACATAAACCTGAAAATGTGGAGGAAACGGATAAATTCTTAGAAACACACAGCCTCCCTAAGCTCAATCGGGAAGAAATAGAATTCCTGAACAGACCAATATCAAGTACTGAAATTGAAGCAGCAATAAAAAACATTCCAAAAAAGAAAAGTCCCAGACCAGATGGTTTCACACCCGAATTTTACCACACCTACAAAGAAGAACTGGTGCCTATCCTGCAGAAATTATTCCACAACATCGAGAAGGAAGGAATCCTCCCCAACACATTTTATGAAGCCAACGTCACCCTGATACCAAAACCAGGAAAGGATATCACAAAAAAAAGGAAACTATAGACCAATATCCCTTATGAGTATAGATGCAAAAATTCTCAACGAAATCCTAGCAAACCGAATTCAGGTGTTTATCAAAAAAATAATCCATCACGACCAAGTGGGCTTCATCCCTGAGATGCAGGGATGGTTCAACATACACAAATCTATAAATGTAATTCACCACATAAATAGAAACAAAAACAAAGACCACATGATCCTCTCAATAGATGCAGAAAAAGCATTCAACAAAATTTAGCACCCTTTTATGATAAGAACACTTAACAAAATAGGCACAGGTGGGACTTACCTAAAAATGATACAAGCCATATATGACAAACCCACAGCCAAC